TTCTCCATCCGTGTCAGAATTTGTTATAATTTGGTTTTTAATCTGAGCCATTTTAACTTAGGTAAGATGATATCCCAAAGTAATTTTAATTTCTCTTATGGCTAAGGATGTTTAACACTTAAAATATTTCTTAGCCATTTCTATTTTTCTTTTAACAACTCCATTTCATTCCTTGCTTTCATTGTTTTTTTTTTTTCTTGGTATATATATATATATATTTTTTTTCTTTGAGTATTTTAAATATCAACCTTCTGTTAGATGCAGAGCTGGTAAAAACCTTTCCCATTCCATAGCTGCCTCTTCACTTGAATGATGGTGTCCTTTGCTCTAGAAGCCTTTAGTTTCATGACCTTCCATTTGTCGGTTGTTGGTCTTAATGCCTGCACCAGTCCAGGCCTGTTCAGAAATTCCTTTCTTGTACATCTAAGTTGAAATGTACTCCCTGATCTTTCCTCTGCCAGCTTCAGGTTATCAGGTCGTATGCTGCAGTACTTGATCCATTTGGAACTGAACATTATACAGGGTGAGAGATAAGGGTCTCGTTTCACTCTCGTACGTGTGTCTATTTTGTTTGATCAGCACCATTATTTTGAAAATGCTTTCTTTTCTCTAATGTCTATTTTCGGCCTCTCTGTCTAAAATCAGGCTTATTTTTTGAGACAGGCTTTCTCACTGAATGTGGAGCTCTGGGTAGCCAGAGGACCCTCCCTTCTGGGATGCATCTGTTTTCTGCCCCTCCCGACCCCACCTCTCACACTGCTGGGTTAACAGATGTATGTCACCGTGCCTGTCTTTTATGTGGGTGCTGGGATCTGAACTCTCATCTTCATGCTTGTGCAATGAGCATTTTACCTCCCGAGCCATCTTCCAGCCTCTCTCTAATCACTCCTGGCAGGGCTGCTTTAAAGTGTTTGTTAGTGATTTTAGTGTCCGTCCTCTTGCTGTCAGCATGTGTTGGTTGTCTTTGTTCATTGAACATTGACTGCATGTTTCCTAGTTTTTGGTATTATAAATAATGTCCCTCTGGAATCTAGACATTTACGTTATTTTGTGTGAAGCTCTAGTTTACTTGAGTCTTGTGTTGGGCTGCTTTCCTGTGATGTCAGACCAGCAGGGGAAGAGGAGTTGTATTAATAGTATCAGGTGAGGAAAAAGGTCCCTCAGAGGCTTTCTCTGACATCATGCCATATTAAGGCAGAGGTCTGGTCTTGGTGCTTAACTTTTGCCAGAATGGGTGGATCAGGGCACAGAGTTTTCAGAGTCTTTGGCCTGGAGTAGCACACTTACTGTCCCAAGGTTTTCTCCTGATGACTGCCATGTACTGGGCCTTGTCTAGAGAGGGCAGCTGTGGTTGGCTTTTCTTTTGGTTTGTGCCCAATGCCATCCCAAATTTCTTCTTCCCTAGCTATGTGTTTAGGACACACAGGAAATCAAAGCCGGAGGACACATTCCCTTTGAACATCTTGGTCTACAGTCTCTACCTTCTTCCTTCCAGCTTTCAATCTCATGATGATAAGTGTGAAATATCCATGACTTTTACTGGTGTTTCCTAGGAGGAACAGGAAGGAATCCTTCCTCATTTCCTCAGAAACAAAGCACTTATAATCATATGAGAATCTGATTTTGGGAAGGAGAGATGATGTAGCTGATAAAGTGCCTACTTCAGAAGCATGAAGATCTTAGTTTGGATCCCTGGCACCCTACGACAGGTGGGTGTGGTCCAGTGCCTCTGTAACCCTGGCAACTGAGACTGGGGAGTAGACAGGCAGATCTCTAGAGCTCTTTGACCAGCTAGTCTGGTCACTGGTGAATGCTGGGTTCAGTGAGGGACTGTCTCAAAAGAGAAGTGGAGAATGATCACAGAAAACATGTCATTGGCCTCTAGTCTCCACACACAATGCACACATGCACTAGGGCACACATGTGTGTATGTGAAATGCACACACACACACACACACACACACAAATAAGTAACTTATTGAGAGTAACATGTATTGTAGGTCACAATCAAGGTGCATGTATTAAGGTTTTAATGTATTTTTTATGGGATTCTGTGACACTTTGTATGATTTACCTTGGCAATAGCTTTTGTCTGTTTGATTTGTGCCTTTGCCCTTATTTCATTTGTTAGATTTTCTTTGCTGTCATTACCTGCCCTGATGTTGGTTGTGTTGGGGCTTCAGGGTTGGGTTTGAGACTGGAAATTAACTTTAAATATCAATTGTCTTTATAATGTAAATGGGTTACTTAATCCTTGGAGATTTATTCTGAGTCAGAATCATATCTTCTTACCCACATTTAGCTGCTCTGGAGTCTGGAAAACCCTGGTAACCAAGAACCCCGATGTAAATGATGCTAGCAGTAGAGCAAAGGTAATGGGACAGCCAACCGAGCACGGGCTGACATAGCTACTTCTTTCAGTGACTGTGACATGGCCAATCCTTCCCAGTGGAGTCCTGTTCTAGTGCTAGAGGCTGTGTGCCAGGTCCAGCAGCTTTTTTGTCTTCCCTCTGGGTTGGAACCTGTGGCCCCAGTACACCCCGGTTCCCTGGAGGGTGATCTCTCCCTGTCTGACTGCTCAACTCTGTTTCCTTGTTCTGATGGCAACTGAAAGCAGTGATACAATGGCCTAAGGCCTCTCTAAAGGCTTATGATGAGAGTATTGTGGGGATCTCAGGAGGGATGTGGAAGAATATTAACTGTGAAAGGAGGTGGCTTGATTTCACTTGGGGCCACCTTCACACGTAGGAGCTGCAGATGAGTGACACATGAGAGGCAGCAGGCCGAGTGCTGGGGTGATGTGGGCGTGCCTGGGGGAAGCAGTGGCCACACACTGAATGATAAGCCGTGCAAGGACAAGCAATGGCCCAGGGTGCCAGCTTCAGTCGTGTTTTCTACCACATATTTCTGTGATGACACTGAAAAGGCTGCACTAGGATTTGGATTCAGGACTTGGGGGACTCAAGTGTGGTGTGTGGATAACCTGTGTGGATAACCCAGGCTGCCTAGGGGCTGCCTCCAGAGCCTGCCTCTGCCTCATCAGCTCAAGGAGACCTCCATTTCCTCCATGCCTCTGGGGTTGTCCTGAAGAGCACAGAATCTGCCTTTTCCTTTCTGGTAGCATTTCCCTTTGGCCTTCTGAGTGTGCAGCTATGTCTTGTGTTCCCACTTTTGCCCGTGCTGTTGAATTTCGTATCTGTAACATTCTCTGGATGCTCCCAGGTTGACGCATTGTTGATTTCTGACATATCAGTGGGATACTGCCCCCTCACCCGTGGGGGTCCTTTCAGCCCAGCATAGCTGGTGGCCTCATCTTCAGCTGCATCCCTAGAGGCCTGTGGTATAGGCAAGGACCTGGTGTCTCCTCATAATGCCCTCTGCCTTTCATTTCCTATGCATGATGCCTTTCTGTCTCTGAGAGTGTGGCCTGGACAGTGTCCCTCTTTCTGTGTGACCCAACCTGTAAACCTGTCTTCTACAGCCTCCTTTCCTGTATGTCTGGGTTCATCCAGCAAGGAGATGCCTGGGAGATGGTGCGGGGCTGGTGTGGGTAGGTTCTCGGTACAGCACTGGACCTCACTTATCCATACAGTTCTGGGGCAGGACCCTGGGGGCTTCTCTCTGATGTGCAAATTCTGCTCTAACCACCCTCCACTGCTGTGCCTGGTTTTCTTCCTTCTATGCTTGCTTATGTCAACAGCTTTCCCAGTGTATCCAGTGTGCTCTCCATTCCCAGGACGAGCCGTGCACATTCACTGCTGTCCATGGTGAGGAACAGAAGGACACGGCCCTCACATGACTTCCTGGAGTCACTAGGCTCTCAGGGTCTGTGGCTGCCCTCTTAGTTGCTGCCCTGATGGGCTCTGTGGACAGAGGCTCAGGTCTTTGGGAAACTCACCAGGGTTGTAGCTGCCTTCAGGCAGAGGAGTGGCCTCTCTCAGACACAGTGAGCCACCATTCAGGAGAGACTCGGAGAATGGCAGAGAAGGAATGCATCCCATGGACATGGCCGTTGAGGCTCTCCAGAGGGACGATGGCCAGGACACTGGACAAGTCAGGGGCAGAGCCTGTAGCGTATCTGCGGAGGGATTGAGCTTCCTCCTTCAACCTCATCCTCCCTCCCTGTCAGTAGGATGTGTTCTTTCCCATTGTTGCAGTGGAAAGACCACTTTTGCCTTCCTTTGCAAGGCAACATGGGATTGGTCATGAGAAGCCTGAGGGAAAATGGGGCCCCTTAAACTTTCATTCTGGCACACAGCAACACAGGCCTGACAGGTCAGAACAAGTCAAGGCTGATACCAGAGAAAGTCACATCTGGAAGAAGAGAGCTCACACTGTCTATCCAGACAGGAAACAAAGGCCTGGGAGGGGGAAGGGATGGGGTGCTTCAGACAACAACAAAAAGAAAAACAAAAAGAACAAAAAGAAAAACAAAAGCATGTGCTTATTCTCTTGGGGAGAGAAAATTAAATCTTGTCCTACACAGTTCAGTGAGACACAACAAGACAATGACCAAGAGAATGGGTCAGCTTGTCTCTGAGGCTTTTTCTTTGAATCACAAGGAGTTTTTTTGTGCCCCAGGAGGACAGACTTACTATAAGCCAATCTTGAAGACTATTTCTGGATCCAGTTGGAACAGGAGAAGGAGGGGAAAGGAACTTAGTAGGGGCCTCAGCTGGAGACAGTAGAGTTTGCTAGGCTGAAGCAGAGTGCATAGTAGGCTAGAAAGATTAGCTTGCAAGGACTGCAAGCATGTCTTTGAGTGCAGGAGGTCAGGCCCACTCTGCTGTGCTAGGTTTCTGGAGTCATTCACTTGTTCAGTAGTATTCCATGTTTTCGTATCAGTCCGTGGGGCCCTGGAGACTAGGCAGTGTCTGCTGGTGTGGGCACGTGCTGGCTTGCCTGAACGGGGTCCATAGCCCCCCCAGACAGCTCCTCTCCTAGGCCAGCAGGAATGAGGAGATCCTTGCTGTCTGACAAAGGATGTCTCTCCTATTCAGGAGCGGTTGCTCATGAGCCTCTTGCCCCGGAATGTCGCCATGGAGATGAAGGAAGACTTCCTGAAGCCCCCTGAGAGGATTTTTCACAAGATTTACATCCAGAGGCACGACAATGTGAGGTAGGGATGGCACAAGCCCAGCTCAACAGTGAGTGGAGTGGTGTGTGTGGGGGGGCTGCAGGGCAGAGGTGATGAGGTGGGGGTGGGTCGAGGAGCTAGGAAGTGGATGAAAGGTGTGGGGAGGGACATGTGGGGGAGGAAAGGAGGGAAACTTGAAGACCTCTGTAGTTCAGGGGGAGAGAGGAGATATGGGTCAAGGAGTTCAGGCAGGCGGCTGCACAAGGAAGCCGGTCCCAATATGGAGGAGGCTGTGGCTTCTTAGGTGGCACATGCCACTTCTCTTTCACATTTTTTTCCATCAGTGCTTGCACTTCCTTTGTTGGCAGGGAGGCAGAACTTCCTTCCAAAGACTGGGTTCTTGGAGTGGTGCTTGGAGTGGGGCTTCTCTCTTTCTGAAGAAGGGCAGAGAGTTGCTTGAGACGGGCTCTCACTCTTCACTCTCTATCCCATCAGCCCTACGAGGTTGGAGCTACTGTTCCTGTTTTATAGGCAAGGGACCTGAGCCTTCCATAGGAACCAACTTATGGATATTTTGAAGTTTGCTTGCCTGCCTAGAGTCTGTTGAAACTATTTGTCCCAATGTATTGTATAGTCTTTTTAAAAACTGCTTTCTTATTATAGTTTAATGCTCTTGGGATAGTTGCGGATTACTACTGCATAAGTGTCACTCAGGAGATGCTTGGGTGGACACACTGCACTTTCTGCTCAGTTGTTCTTTGCTGGTTTTTTTTTGGGTGTTGGAAAGTCACGACTTGCAGCCTCAAATGGGATGAACATCAGAAAAAGGAGAAAACAGGGAACAGGAGAGAAGCCTGTCACAGAGGGCCTCTGAAAGACTCTCTCCAGCAGGGCATCGAAGCAGATGCTGAGACTCATAGCCAAAGTTTGGGCAGAGTGCAGGGAATCTTATGAAAGAAGGGAGAGATAGAAAGACCTGGAGGGGACAGGAGCTCCACAAGGAGAAAAACAGAACCAAAAAACCTGGGCCTAGGGGTCTTTTCTAAGACTGATACTCCAACCAAATACCATGCATGCGGATAACCTAGAATGCTTGCACAGATGTAGCCCATGGCAGTTCAGTATCCAAGTGGGTTCCCTAGTAAGGGGAATAGCGGACATGAACTCAGTACCTGGCTCTTTGATCACCTCCCTCTGAATGGTAGGGCTGGCAGCCTTACCAGGTCACAGAGAAAAACAATATAACCTGTCCTGATGAGACCTGATAGTCTAGGGTCAGATAGAAGGGGAGGAGTACCTCCCCATCAGTGGACTGGGGGAGGGGCATGGGAGGAGAAAAGGGAGTGAGGGTAGGAGTAGATGAGGGAGGGGGCTTCAGCAGTGATATAAAGTAAATAAACTGTAAAAAAAAAAAAAAAAAAGACTTCCAGCCTCTGTACCCTGAAGACACAAAAGCATGTGGAAAAAAAACCTCTTAGGTTAGCACAGGTTGGCTCATCCCAAATTAGTTAAGGCTTGTGAATCATTAAGGTAACCATCCCTGTGAGCAGAGCCGGTGTGGTTCATCAGCTCACAGATACTGTTCTGTGCACATCTGTGAATTCTTTTGCTCCCTGCTGTCAGGTGGTTTGACAGGGACCAGTTCTCCTTCCACAGAGGAGGATGCTGAAGTGGTGTGGGATTAGGGCCCAGCTGTTTGGAAAGTAGCCACAGAGCCGGCCTTTGTGCTAGATGGCTCCAGAATTAGAGCTCAGAAGCTGCTTGCTGGGTTCTTGGTTGTTTGCTATCTCCTCACTCCTGTGAGCAGCTGGCCTTGCTGCCTGCCTTGTAGAAAGCAGGAAATTGAGATTCGGCCATGTGAAACAAATGCACAGGAGGCCCTGGGCAGTGGGTGAGGGCTGGGCACAGGATCGGCTGACGTTTGCATTGTACCTGCTGCTCCTCGTTGGGAGGGACATAATGCAGTGCCCCAGCTGCTTGCTGAGGAGCGCCCGCCACAAGAATGCCTCAGAGAACTTGGAGGGCACGCTATAGGAGGGTGTCACAGTTAAGGGCCTTCTGGTAGCTTGAGTGAGTGGGCATCGTTGGCCTCCTGCTTGCTCTGCAAAGCGAACAGATAAACAAATGCATAGACTTGTTTTGTAGCCTCCCCCTTTGTCTCTGTCAGGTTTCTATTGCCATGATAAAACACCACAACCGAAAGCAAGTTGGGGAGGAAACAGTTTATTCGGTTCACACTTCCACGTTGTAGACAAATCATTGAAGGAAGTCAGGGCAAAGAGCTATTGCAGAGGCCATGAAGGGGTGGTGCTCACTGGCTTGCTCCTTATGGCTTGCCCAGCCTGCTTTCTTATAAAAACCCAGGACCACCAGCCCAGGGGAAAGCACCAGCCACAATGGGCTGGGTCCTCCCACATCAATCACTAATTAAGAAAATATCTTACAGGCTTACCTACGGCTCTATCTTATGGAGGCATTTGCGATTGAGGTTCCCTCCTCTCTGATGACTTTAGCTTGTGCCATGTTGACATGAAACTATCCATCCTGGGAGGGAGGGCAATGATAAGTGCGACCAGTTCTCCAACTTCTCTGGGACTTCCCACACAACCAGAATTTGCCTTTCCGTCCTGAATTTCTGAGAAGTCCGACTCAGTCTGGTTTGTTGGGAAAACAGAGGTGGGGCACGCAGTAGAAGATGCCACAGCTCTGACACGTGTGTCTCTTGCTCAGTGAGCACATGGAACCCACAGCTGTACCGGAGAGACAGAGAGTTGATAAAGGGCCCAGGCATCTCAGCTGAAATAAGGGGTGGGGCTGCTATCTTAGGTGAGGCTGGTCTCTAAGGGCTGGCTGGGCCTCAAAGAGCCAGGCACAGGAACTCCAGACAAAGGAGGAAGATAGACCTGCAGACACGGATCTAAGAAAATGCACTTAAATGGATTCCTGCACAAGAAAGTAAAAACAACTCTCATGGAGGTAGAAAAGAATTATGCACATGGAAAAAAATAAGAATTTCAACAAGGAAATAAAAACATAAAGGAGCAACAAATCAGAAGGCTTAAGACTGTAGCAACCAAATATAAAATTTTCTAGAGGAGAATAGAGAATCAAACAGACAGAAAAAAAAAAAAAAAGAACTGAAGACAGGTCTCTGGAAGGTCCCAGTCAGAGAGTCAAAAACGAGAAAAAGAATGGGAAGAAGAAAGCTTAAGGGGGTATGAGAAGTCAGCATTGGGCCAAAACATAGATTAGAGTAGTTGTAGAAGGAGAATTGTGGGAAAAAGGACCATAACATTTTTAAAAAGCTTTTCAGATAGACATGTGGTGACAGACATGGGCATCCAAAACCAGGAAATATATATGACACCAAATAAGATGGAGCTAAAGAAAATTATGTGATGAAATCCTATAACGTTAGAGACAAGATGGGAATTTTGAAAGCCACAGCAGGAAAGTGTTTTCCTGTGAACCACGGGATTCCCGTTACTTTTTCAGATCCTTAGGCAGAAACCATGGAGGGCAAAGGGAGTGAGTGACATATTCCAAATGTTGAAAACAGGTAACAAAAACTCCCTAACCAAGAATGCTGGCAAAATTCTTCTTCGGAAATAAAGGCAAGACTGAAAAGCCTGGCAGATGGTTGAAAGTTGTGGGAGTTTGTGGCCACCAGATCTGTTTATGAAAACATCCTAAAGGAGGATTCCCAGAGAGAAATGAAAGACCCCTGTGCAGCAGCACAGCGGCCTAAGAAACTGTGGAACTCATTGATAAAGATGAACATGTTTTAATATAGACATGTAATATGTGTGAATATAAAGGCAAGTAGTCTTCTAATAAAAAAGCCCGGCTAGTGATGCTCACAGGTAGAAGTGCTTGATGGTAAGCTTCATTACCCGAGTTTGGTCCCTAGAACCCACGTGGAAGAAGGAGAGAACCAACCATCGCATGCTGTCCTCTGAAAACCACACATGCACAGTGGCACATATCTGCACCTACATACGTGTACACACAGAGACAGACACACACAGAGGCACACACACACATACACACAGGTCCACAGAAAAGCTGCACACACCAAATAAGTAAATGTAAAAAAGTTAAAAGTCAAGGGTTTGAAAATAATCGTTATAGGAAAATAATTTAATATATGACATGAGTATGTGTACATTGTAGTGAGTAAATTATGAAAGAGGTGTTAAAATGTACATCTTTTTCTATATGACTGAACAGCAATATGATAAGTAACTAATTAACATAAAAACTAACCAAAAGAAAAGAGAGAAATAACCAAAGTGTTTCAATCAGGAAAACCAACAAATGACAGCAGAACACAGAATACAAACGAAAGAGCCCCAAGCCTAAGAGGAAGCACATGACACAAAGGCAGTGCGAGCCTTTTCCATCAATTCTTTACATGTAAATGACGTAAAATCCCCCATCGATACAAAGACAGTGTGGCTGGATAGGAACATCAGTCAGACAGACACAAATCAAACCACGATAAGCAGCCAGTCTAACTGTACCTTGTGTACAAGAAGCTTGCTTCAGATTTGAGGAGGCACCTCTGGCCGGAGGAGGAGAGATGAGAGAACAGCCGTGTGGAAGAGAAGCAGGGAGAGTAAGGGTGGCCATGTCCTCGTCAGCCAAGACAGCCCCAAACTGATGGACGAGGTGATGTTTTATCATGGTTGAAGGGCCGTTTACCATAACAGTCATAAAAACACACGCACGCCCAACACAAAAGCACTGACATATGGCCAAGCAAGTATCCATAGAACCGAAAGGGGAAATATCCACCAAATCAGCAGTAATCCATTTTCAATGTTGGGCAGAGCATCCAGACAAGGAGAGCAAAGAGCGAGAAGGGGACTCTGATAGCACCATAGACGTGCTGCTAGTAGACCAAACAGATTGCACCATCCCACTCAACACTGCATTCTTCTTGCATGCCCATTGCTCTTTCTCCAACACAGGTCATGTGAGGTCACAGAAGAATCATCATGAACTTGAGAGCAGTAAATCACACTGTATTTTCCGACCTAACGGCACCATAGTTCCTGACTTTAAATCATGTTGCAAAGCTGTCATGATTGAAACAGCATAGCACGAAAGCAGAAACTTACAGTAGAATAAGGAGCCCAGAAGTGATCCTGCATGCATGTACCCCAGCCTGTCCTTGGAGTGACAAAATTAGAATAAAGGACAAGTTATCTCCAATAGATAAGTGCTAGAAAAACTGAACATCCATACATGGGCCAATGAAATTGGACCTGATACCACACACAAAATCAATTCAAATGGATTCTAACCCGAAATGTACAAAATCCTAGAAAGAACCGCAGGCTAAGTTCTAAGACATTTTTTTGGCAATGATTTCATAGCGGCAACAGCAGAAATAAGTGGATTAGATCCAGCTTGGTGATTCACCAAAGTCCTGCAATCAGCCAGGAGTGCTTCCTGATGAGAAACAACTAGGTATCCTGACTGGGGTTTTGTGGCTTCTGCTCTGTGCCTGCCCCATGCTATTCCTCCTTAGCTCCACAGCTCCTGGAGGCTGAGGAGGTGCCTCTTCAGGGCACTGCTCCGAATCAGCAGGCTTTGATGGCCTGGGGATTCCCTGGAAAGGCCTCTCCAGCACCTCAGACTCAGCCGCCTGTGAGCTGCTGCCGCTCAGCGCCTCTATCCGTCAGCATTGCAGCTGCTTCCTTCGGCGGTGACAGCCAAGGCAGGCTGCAGGGTGAATGGAAGGGATGAAAGGAAGAGCTTGGCACTGAGGGGACATGGGTGCTTTGAAAAGGTAGGCGCAACTGTGGGATTTTCAAAAAACCAAGCCTATGCAGCATTAGTTGATAAATCACTGAATAGCATCAAAACCAGACCGTCCTCACCAGGGCCCTCAGGCGGGGATGGGCGAGACACTGATTTCCAGAGTTGTTGCCTTGTATTCTCAGCAGGACCGTATGCTGCTGGGTATGCTGCAGAAAGTATGTATGGCTCGTCCATGGGGAAAACAAGCAGTCAGCAGAAACTGTCCTAAGGAAGCTAGACGGGGATTCTTAGACAAACTGAAGTCAGCGATTTGAAATGTGCAGAGAACAAGCTGTGTCTGTGTAATTAAAGGAAACCATGGCAATGTTTTCTCACCAAGCAGAATACCAGCGGAGTAGACTTTTTAAAAATAACCAAATCAAATAGAACTTCTAAATTTAAGATCTACAAGTGAAATGCAGAATTTTCTGGAGAGTTTCAGTGGCTGACTCGAGCAGGCAGCGTAAGAATAAGTGAGCCATGAGCGTCTCCGGGCTGCAGAATGATGGGGAATATGGAGAATTTCAGCTCTCTGTGGGGCACTCCCACGTCTATCAATACACACATGATGACATCTCCTAGACAAGGGAAGAAAGAGAAGACAGGATATTTGTAGAAACCATGGCCAAAAGTGGTCCTTAAAACAACCACCACCACAACGACAACAAACACACCATATTAATCCACATATCCTAGAAGCTCTGTGTGGTTCAAAGTGGATAAACTCAGAGACCCACACCGAGCAAGTCCTGGCCAAAGCGACAACAGCCGGAGATGCGGGCAGAATCTGAAAGGAGCAGGAGAGAAAGGACTCTATCTAGACGTGATCATGAGTGAGACGATGCCTGGTTTATGGCAGTGAGAGCCAGGAGGAAGCAGGAAGGCATATTCAAATGCCTTATCAAAAAGACAAGAGTTCTGTGTCCTGCAGGCCATGGGAGCCGCAAAATTGTCCCCTTCATTGGAACCCTGTTGCCCCAGGGTCTCCTTACCACCCTGCTCTCTTCTTATCAGGCAAAGCTGGTCCGACCATAGTGGGCAGTACACGTTCCTCGCCCATCTCCTTGTTTATTTTTACCACATTTAAATGAAATGCCTTGGCTTACTTCAGATGTCACCTTCCCCTGGCCAAAAAGAATCCCGAGGGCAGAGATGTTCATTGTAATCTCCTCTTTATGGTACATCCCAAGCACCTAGTCCTCAGTGAGCGACCTGCAAGGAAATGAATAGCACTTAAATTACTGAGAATGGACAGCCAGAAAGAATTGCTGTTTCCAGGCACAGCAGGGCTGGGGCGCATTTGAGTTCACAGACACTGTGTCAGCACAAGGAGATCTGCACAAGTTCAAGCCAGACAAAGTCCCAGCACAGAGGAGGGAAAGTGGACACAGAGTCCAACAGATGCTGGGAGAAGGGAAATGAGTGGAGTGTCCAGCCTCGTTCTCAGAAGTAGTTGGCTGACACAAAATGGACTCCATGTTTGTGTGTGTGTCTGTAAGTGTGTGTGGTTTTATTTTTATTTTTTAAAGAGAGAATTATCATGAAATTAGGTGGGTGGGTTGGGGGAGGAGCTTGGAGAGGAAAAGAATGTGATTAAAATATACTGTATGAAAAAATTTAAAAACAAAATAATAAAAATTACTGTACATGGCTATAAACATGTGAGCTCTCCTTTCCATGTCACAGATGAGAAAGGGGCGCCAGGAATTGCTGAGAGTCCCCTTGTTGTAGTTAATGGAGTGGGACAGTTCTCCTAGAGCCCAGCGCTACCCGCTGCTTCCTTCCGGTGCTGCCTAGCCTGGCTTATCTTTAGTGACACCCTCTGTTTTCCCTAAGAATGCTCCTTCCTTCCTTTTTTCCTTCCTTTTTCCCTCCCTCCCTCCTTCCTTCCCTCCCTCTCACCCTCTCTCCCTTCCTCCCTCCCTCCTTCTCTCCCTCCATCTGTCCTTCCTTTCTCCCTTCCTTTCTTTCTTTTTTTCTTTGGTTTTGGTTTTTCAAGACAGTGTTTCTCTGTGTAGCCTGGACTCCCTTTGTAGACCAGGCTGGCCTCAAATTCTCAGAGATCTGACTGCCTCTGCCTCCCTGAGCACTGGAATCGCAGGTGTATACCACCACTCCCGGCTCGCCCATTTCTTTTTATTTGACATTTGTGGCTCCCATAGAAGGGTTTTGCATGGGTGATGCCTAGCTTCTGGAAGTCCAGGGATTGCAGGAAAGCTCTGAATGTTTGGGCGGCGTATTTTAAGATAGGCCTTAGAGCTAAACAATGTTTAAAGACAAACACTGTATGACTTTTGCCTCTCAGATATTTGCAGAACATGTGTTAGTTTTGAAAGAGAAAACAATAGGAAATACCTCGTTAGAGTCTTAGCATCTGTAGAATATTGAGTAGGCACTATTCCAGGCTGACCCCAGTTCTGCAATAAATAGACACCAGGTCCTTGGAGGACGTCATGGCCACTTTCTCTACGCAGTGATTTAGGGATCTGTCTCTGGTATTCTGATGGTCACATACATCCTGGTAGCAGAAGATGGTTGGTGGGAAGGGACCATTCCTTACTTAAAAGCTGCCCACTCTCCTTCTTACTCCTGGCCCCTGTAAATGCAGTCATGTGAGGACTCTGGGAAGGGAGCAGGTCTATTGGGCAGCTAGCAGGACCTCCCTATGTAGACGAGGGGTCAGCATGGGGGATGGCAAGCTCAAAAGGCTCAGCAGCTAGCTAATCCCTCTGTGACCAAGAGGTGTGTCCTGCAGCTGTTCTAAGCCTACATCTTCTTGCCTGTAAGAGAAAGCGGAAGTCACCCAGCTTGCTCTCAGGAATAAATGGGGGTACAGAGGGAAAGGCCATGCAACTCTTAGGTTACAATCTCCTAAGTGGCCAAGAAGAGGTGACCTGGGTCCCCTTCCTCTTGCAGCATCCTGTTTGCAGACATCGTGGGTTTCACAGGTCTGGCGTCCCAGTGCACGGCCCAGGAGCTGGTGAAACTGCTCAATGAGCTCTTCGGCAAGTTCGACGAGTTAGCCACGGTAAGCACAGTGCTTGTTTTTGTTCTCTTAAGTCAGTCGGCTTCTGGAGTGGTGCTCTGCCAAGCGGCCTCTGTGTCTGCAGCAAAGGAGCCTCACTGGTCAGGGATTCAGTCTTAGGCCCGAGCCCTGGGCCTGAAAGTCATGGGCTCCACTGCCTCCTTCCAAGAGGCGCCCAGATAGAACCATGTCCTACAGGCTGCACCTAGCCCTGGTTGCCTGCCACTGTGTACCTAGGACAACCACAGCCCTCTCTTTACATGGAGCAGCCCTGCTGGGCCCAACCTTGTTCTGGCCTTGCCACCCTTTAGAGCTGGAAAATTCCTGCTTACCCCTTCCCCAGCCCCTGTTGATGCTAGGAATGTTGGGAATGCACATCGGCCCTCCTGTTGGAGTTCTTAACATTTGGCACTTGTAAACCTTGCTGAAGGGTGGCACTCTTCCCTTAGGCTCCATGTTGCTATGTGAGAGCCTGGTTTACAGTCTTAAGAGACCTTTGCACATCTGTCTGGAACTTTATCATGTAGCTCATCCATCATGTAGATCCATTCTGGTTTCCAGCCTGTGTAGGCAGGAGGTAGCTTCCACAGGACACAAGCCATACACCAGGAAGAGTGGGAACCACTGAAGGAGGGAGGAAGGGAGCAGAAAGTAGAGGTGGGAGGATCAGGGCATGTGATTTATTGGGGTGATACAGTCCGCACAAGCTTCCTGGGGTCTTACACCCTACCCCTGATACCCTTCAAGATGGTGAAGGAGTATGTGGGATGGAGTTGCATTCTTTGCCCAGCCTCTGCCTGGGTGAGGCATGGGTACTGAGGAACTGAGGGGTAGGGGCTGCCACAATCAATGGAGGCAGCAGGGAAGGAGTCCTTTTTTTTAATTTTTAATTTTATTATTATTATTATTGCTTTCTTTTGCCCTGAGCTTGTGCTGCCTAAAAGTATGTGGGGGGGTGCTTCATCCTCCCACCCCCACTATGCTGTTCATGCAGGAAGTTCTGAGGCCAGCATCGTTCCCAAAAGGAGCCTCTTTCCGGCAGCTCCAGATGTCTGCTCTTCCCCTTGGGGACTTCCCCAGAACTCTTGAAGCTGTCCCGCAAGGCACGTGCCTTGTGTCCCTTGCCCTCACTGGTGGCTATAGAACTTAAGGACAGTAAGGGCAGAACAGCCTTCAATGGCTGCTACACAGCCCTCTATGATTTGACAGTATTTCCTGCTTAGCCTGGGCCAGTGTCTTGCAAAGGGTGGACGATTTACTTTTCACAAATCACTTAAGGATTACCACATTGGTGTTGTACCTAGAAAAATCTCTATATAATCTAGGATTGTATTTATCTCCTACCTGTGTTTCCTCCGGAAAATTTGTACTTTAAGGTTTTCCTTAGGAGCACAGTTTGAGTGTGTACTGTGAAACACCTCTGTGTCATGTCTCCTAGGACAGCGTGAACCCTGGGGCTCTCTGCTTCCCACTCTTCCTTCTTCGTCAGCATACATGGCTCCAGTCCCATTTTCTGGGCAGCTTTTGGTTGCAGCTTCATGTTGGATGATTCCACTGGCTGCCTGGCTGTGGTGTTCCCTGACTGTTTACATCAGTGCACTTTTTGGGGTACCCATGGAACCCTTTATATAGCACTCACAGGCTGGCCTGCCACAGCTCTGTTCCTGGCGACACTATTTTGAGTAGCAGAACCCACAATGCTAGACAGAAACCAGCGATATCATTCAGGCTATAGATTACCTTCAGATGACCCTAGATCTGACCAGTGGGAAGAGCTCCTGAAGTCTCTGAGAAATGGTATATTCACTCCCTACAGCTGGCCTGGCTCCCCAGTGACTTAAGGAGAATCACCTCCCATAACACAAACTTTCATTGCAAAGTGCTAGTTTATTCCCAGGGACATGTGATTGAGTGGGAGAGAATGTTTTCCAGGAAATTTCTAGACACAGTGCTTTCAGTGGGGTCCGTTTGGACTTGGAGCACCCAGCCACCAGGATACAGGTGAGAGCCCAGCTGAGGTCTCAGAGGCTGGTGGGAGGCAGGATGGGTGGCATCACCTCGTGCTGATGCCGCTGCAGTGATGGTTGTGGGTACACTGAGGACTCTGGTGTGTGGGGGGATGGGGACACACCAGCACCCCACAGCTGGCAGGAGATGGGCCATGCCCGTCTTGTGACTTCTGTCCTTAAAATCATGGTAGAACCGTAGGAGCATGGACACAGAAAGTTTTGGATTTGGTTGCCCTTGACAAGAGTAGAGAGTCGTGGCCCAGTTACACCCTGTGACAGGTGGGGCAGGGTACCATGTCATGTTCATTCCTAGGACAGAGGAAGTGCTTACATGATACAGCTAATTCTTCAGGGCCATGTGGTTTCAAAGCCTGTCTTCCAGGAGAGCACTGGGACCCTTCCTTCAAAGTTCCAAAGACCATCTCTGTGAGGGCTTGCTTATTTGGCCTCTGACCTTTCTCCAACTATCTATAGAGTGGAGGCCCATCACTGGCCCATCACTTCATCCCATTACTTTGTGTGGCTGTTTTCCCCTAAGGGGCTGTCACTGGGCAAGCCACACTCATTTCTAAGTAAGCTCTGAGGTCCAAATTATGACTAAGGAGCCTGGCACACAGCCGAGGCCCGATGAATTTATCAAGGGAGACAACACCACACCAAGTGCCTGCTTTAATGGCCTCTGGCCCCACTGGCCTGGGATTTGTGAACCTCTGGGTGTGCCCACAAATGAGGCGGGTCAGAAAAGGAACTCAGCTGTCTGAGCCTGTCATCCACTGCGGCAGTAGCCTCCTGTAGAGATGCTGAGCAGGCTGGGAGCAGAACAGCACTGATGAGGAGCAGCATGCTCGCCTGTTCGCATTTGCATTTCCCTGAGGGCTCTGTTTCCCAACTGTGACAAGAGGCTAAGCACTCCTGTTCACCCCTTCTCCTCTCTATGGCTGTGAGAAGTCTTTGGTGTCTGACTGGGTGAGCCTCTGGAGGGAAAGTCAGTGGAGATGCGGCTCTCAGACATGTCTGAGGAGAAGCACACCTCTGACTGGCCTATGTTGGTGATGTAGGTATTATGTGGGGGTGGGGTGTGCTCCCAACTTGGGGTATCCACTCTGCAGTTGTTCAGGCTTGGCAGAGGACATGGTCGTCTTTGGAAAGATTATGTCACTCCTATCAATTCTCCTCTCATGAGGGGCTTCTTTATTGTTCTTTTTCTGGGGACACAAAGGTGGCTCCCAGAGACCGATTCAGAACCACTCACCAGAGTCTCAAATACCCAGAAATCTTCATTTTACTGTTTTTGTTTGTTTGTTTATTTGTTTGTTTGTTTTCCGGCCAGAATCTGAGAGTGACTGGCTAAAGCATATGCTTATGTGCAGAACACTGGGCCTGGGAGGTGGGACCTCAATTTACCCTACGCTGACCCTCTAAAATCCTCCTCCTACCCAGATGAGACTCACCTTCACTGCTCCAAGACTCTGGTTTCATGTACTCCTCCTGGTCCCTTGCAGGCCACAGTGTCCAGGGACTCTGCACAGTTCTAGGCCTTGCTGTATTTGCTCATGGGATAGCCCTGCCAGAACCTGCTGAGACAGGAAGATATGAGAGCTCCCTCCATCCCCACCCAAGGGAGGCAAAGTACCGTGTGGGCTGAGTCTGGGTGTTTTTGGGGGAAGATATCTGTTGAGAAACGTCTGGCTCTTGTGGAAAGCTTTGTGAACAAGGGAAAGGTTTAAACAATGCCTGCCTTCCTCATCGTGGTGTGTTTTACTCTCCCAACAAACAGCGGCCCAAGTGTGGCTGCTGAGAACCTGCCCTTGATTGATGTCCGCAGTAAGGGGTGCTGGGTGTTAGGCTGCGCTCACTTCTGGGTGCTTCCTACACCTCACACATTCCTGCAGCAGCTTCCTCTGGGGCATGCCTTCTTGAGAACAAACCTAGCTCTCCTTTCTGCTTTTCGGCTTCTCATTTCCTACCGTTCCAGTGGCATGGAGGGCCCTTGAGAGAAAATACTCTCTCACCGCCTGGGAGTATCCCATGTCTGGCTGGATCAAAGCTTGTTGTCTGTTCACAGCCTGATGGGCATCTGGGTTATTTCTGGGCTAGGTTATTCCAAATAAAGCTGCCGAGAGCATTTGTGTATGAAACTTTGTACGGATGAGTGCTTTCCGTTTTCTTGTGTAAAAACGTAGGCGTGGGCTGATGACAGAATTTGCTGAGTTTATGTTTAACACTTTAAGAAATGAATCCAGTTCTTTCCAGATGGCCTATTGCCATCTCCTGTCCCCCAGCAACAGCGTTTGGGTTCTAGTTTTTCTGCATCTTTGTCTCCGCTGCTGTGGCTAGGTTTTTAAATGGGTGTGTGCTCCCCCTCATAATAAGCCATGAGTTTCTTTTAGCTGCTTATTGGCCATCCGTGTTCCATCTTTGGATGAGTCTCCATTCAGGTGTATTTCACCATCCTCCTTTTTAAAATTGAGTTGATTGTTTTAGAGGTGGAGTTTTGAGAACGTGTATATCTTTTTCTTTTTGGTTGTTTTAGTTAGGGTTTTACTATGTTGTCTGAGCCTGCCTTAAACTAATGTCACCTTGTCATAGCCCCTAAGTGTTGAGATCACAGGTGTGTGCCATTGTGTCCCACCTAAGAGTTTGTAGTGGTCTACAAGCAAGCCCTTCTTCAAATATATGGCTTGCAATTTTTTTTCTCATAGGTTTTGTTCCTTCTAATAGTATTGCTTTAAGAGCAGGAAATTTTAAATTATCTGTCAGCTTTATGTTATTGTTGTTCTATTCTATTCTTTCTTTCTTTCTGGAATGCCATTTTCGTGCTGTGTCTGAACTGTCTTTGCCCAGTGTCTATCATTGTGTGGCTTCTCAAGGCCACAGTGGCAAAGTCCTGTGCAGATCTGCAAGCATGAGCAACAAGAATTTGATTTTACAGGTTTGCGGCCTGCGCTCCAGATCAGTACTGCTTGGCAGAGCTGTACTTCCTCCAGGCACCCC